AAAAAAAAAAAAAAAAAACAGATAATACTTTTAACTGGTAATCCACCTCCTTAACCCCAGTTGCAGTTGGGTACCAACGACTGCCCCCCACAAATGATACTCTGAGGTAGGCACCAACCTGGGCACCAACCTCTGCCCCAGAACGAACACCCTGAGGTGGACACCAACGACCGCCAGGGCAACTGATACCCTGAGGTGGGCACCAACCAGAGCCACCCTCAAAGGTACTGTACCTCTGATAAAAAAAAAAAACAAAAAAAAACACCCATCTGTTAGGGTCTCGTTAGACACTCCTAAAAGTTCATGTTTTTAGGATTGCGTCTTGGTTGCACGCAATCCTAAAGCGGACGCGGGAAACGAAAATGTGAAAATGGCTTTAGGACGAGTCCTAAAAGATTTAGGATTCCCCAGCCAAAATCGTCCTAAATTTTCCAGTAGCCCCGGACCTACTGAAAAATTTAGGATTCCCGCACTTCACGGAGTCCTGGCGTCGTGCGCACCACACCGTCATCTTGGAAGTGCTGGTGCAGAACTGGGCCGTCGGTCCAGGGGTCGGACATCAGAGGTATTCGGTGGGCGGACGGGGCCAACAGCCACGAACGGTAGCCCTTGGCGGGAAGGACCGAGGGTAGCCGGGCTTCCGTAGTCGACCGTTGCCTTGCTAGCGCGAAGCGGAGGAGGAGGACGACGTGCGCCGGTGGTCGACGGTGGTGGAAGACAACACGCTAGCCCGACTTCAGGATGTGCTCACTCGCGGACGATGGTGGAAGACAGCCCAACCGCAGGAGGACAAGCTGCGCCGCCGCCCCACATGCGCCCCGTGCTCACCACTCGCGCACACTCCACACTGTCCACAGATGAATACCCACAGCGGAAGGTTTGCCAGCGCCGTCTTTCGTACGTCTTCCGTGTCGCTTGCCAGTCCTACGCCAGCCAGAACCAACCCCCCCTTTCGAAGTCCACGATACGCGCGCTTCCCACCGAAGACACCTACATGCCGACGGCCTACCGCGCTGTGTACCACAGACACCACCCACGAGTGGACGGACATCCACGACGCGGCTGCGTATACGCATATGAAAAGAGGCCGCGGGACAACTTTTAGGACGAGTCCTAAAAGTCGATTTTTAGGCTTGCGTGCAACCACTCCGCATGAAATCCTAAAAAACCTTTAGGACTCGTCCTAAAAAATTTAGGATTCTTTTAGGAGTGTCTAACGAGACCCTTGGAGCCTATTTAAGAACCCCGCTTGGAAGTCCCCAGGGCCCCACTAATACAGGTACTGCAGCTGCAATTTATCCTTCCATATCCCCAACAAGAACCAACAAAACATAAATGTACTACTAGCGGTAGGCAATTACGCGAGGGGAAGGAGGGGGGGGGGCGGGGGGAGGGGAGGGATGCACTACGAAGAAAAATAATTAATCAAAGAACGATTCTAAGAACAAACAAATGTGTTCCTCATGAGGAACTAGTCCTTCAAAAACCACCGCCACTGGCCTTACTTCTTTCACCCTCTTTTCCCCCACTTTCCTTGCCCCTTTCTCCCTTCCCCCCTTCTCCCCTTCTCCCCCTTCTCCGCCTTCTCCCACTTCTCCCTTCTCAAGGCCCTTCTCAATTAAAAATTATGTAGTTGTATCCCCTTTCCTCTTCTCTTGCTTCAATACTCCTCGCTTTCAATTTCTTTTCTCGGTCAGATTTCACTCTCTTTCCTCATTCTTGCCCTCCTCACTTCACTGACCACACCAAAGCTAAAACCCACAAATTGTGCCCTTCTCCTTACAGTGACCTCTCACTGACACATTCTCTCTCTCTCTCTCTCTCTCTCTCTCTCTCTCTCNTCTCTCTCTCTCTCTCTCTCTCTCTCTCTCTCTCTCTCTCTCTCTCTCTCTCTCTCTCTCTCTCTCTATTTTGCTTCTTCTTCCTCTCCCTATACGCCATTCTTTTTTTTCTCCTCACCCCTGTCCTCTTTTTCATTTCTCCCTCCTCGGTTTTCTCTCCCTTTTCACCCTGCAAGATTGCTTCAGTCAGATTCTTTCTCTTGGTCTTCAACTTCTCCTTTCTCTCTTCGAAGCCGTCCTTCTTTTCCAGGTTGCCCTTTCATCAACTTCCCTTCTTCTTCCTCTCCCTCGCTTTCTTCCCAATCACCATACTCCACTTCCCTTCCTTATTGCGGCCCTCCCAACACTTGAATTTTTTTTAACTTATCAATCAATTTCACTTGCTGTCTCTTCCACCTTCCTCCTCCACATCCTCTCTTCATCTTCTCCTTGTCCTTTCTCTCTTGCTCATCATTAGCAGCATACTCTACCTTCAGGGACATATCACAAGTACGAGCAGTGCCGAGCTAATCAATTTCGCATGCTGTCTCTTCCACCTGCCTCCTCCACATTCTCTCTTCATCTTCTCCTTGTCCTTTCTCTCTTGCTCAGCATAAGCAGCACACTCTCCGTTCAGAGACACTAGCACATGTGCGAGCCGTGCCAACCGTCTCCAAGCAACGGTCCTTGTCCTTTCTCTCTTGCTCATCATACGCACCACACTCTCCCTTCATCGACTGACCTGTGGTAGGGTTTGTCTCCTAGACAACCGTCCTCCTCACCCCAAACACAAAACACCCTGATTATGTATGTACCGGACAGGGAAACATAGCTTGTATGCATGCATTCATTATCAAGGTGCGCGTTGTGTTCGGGCTGAAGACGAACGGATTGAAGATAGTCCCCAGCACAAGTGTGTGGTGTGGGTTTTCGCACACGTTCAGCTGTCTCCCTAAGACTAAGGGATACCAGGCTCATTATGTCTGTCGACTCCGTACCGAACCCGAAAGATAGCTTGTATGCATTCATTATCAGGGTGCGTTCTGTTCGGACTGAAGACGAACAGATCGACGATAGTCCCAGCAAAAGAAGGTGGGAGGTTTTTGCACACATCCTCCAGAAAAAAAAAAGTCAAAGGAAAACGCATTCGAGCTACCCCTCGTCAGTCCTACCACCCCATGCTAACAATCCGCCCAACACGGCAATCTGCTGCTGCCAAACCGACCGTAGCTGAGGCTCACGTTCTCCTCCTCTTTTTTTTTTTTTTTTTTTGAAAATCTCCTTTTTTTTTACCATAACTCCCGCTTGCTATTTTACAAAGAACCAAAAAAAAAAAAAAAAAAAAAAAAAAAAAAAATG